AGCAAACGAGTTGTCCCAACGTGACTAAGTTCACTGACTCGTTCTGTCAGCAATGATGACTATCCGGTTTGTGTGTTCGACTGTAATTCTGAGCAGTATCCCACTGGGTAGCCAAGAGTACCAGCAATTTCACAGGGCCTTTGTATAGGGGTCATATAACTTACTTTTCTATTGACTTTGTCCTTTAAATATCTTCTGTACGTGCTACTGTAGTGCATGTTCATTGTAAACTGAACTGTGTTAAAACCTGGTGGTGGTGGGGAGAAGATCCCATAAAATTCCTTGGGAAATGGCCAAGGATCAATATTATGCAAAAACAGTCAGTGCTGCTCCTGGAGCTTGAAACCAGGAGTCTTGTTTTCCTTTTTCAGAATGCTTGTGGCAGAACAAAGATGATACAATGAAGACAAATCAAGATAATTGTGAGAACTTGTACTTTCTCCTGACAGCTTGTAATGACAATGGTCTCTGCTGCTATATCTTCGATAGTGCTTGTCAATGCTGATTATTTTCCCAAGTCTTTCCTTATCTACTGCTGAGGATGTACCCAATGATTACTAATCTTCTAGGTTAATTAGTTGTTAATGTTTTTGTTCTTAGATAAGAAGAAAATAATGGAGAGTCTCTGGGTGGTTGGTTATTCATACTCAGGCACAAAACTCTGAACTTCTGAATAATTATTCATTAATGGAAAAGAGTAATTGTTCCCTGTGGAGCTATGAGTGTAGCTGATACAAGTGGTCTTTAATCTTTGTAGTGATTAAGAAAGCTTCCAACCAAACTAGTGGGTGTTTGAATAATTTCTTACACCTTCAATGCTTTTATTAAGCAAATAAAATGTCTATGGAAAATGTGCATTAAATGTGTATGAGAGTATAGCAGTTTCCTGAAGCAGCAGAGTAATTTCAGCAGTTAATGAGGGGTAGATGTGTAGCACAAAATTCTGTGCTCACTGTTCTGAACACGGAAAAATATAAGAGTTTCCCACTTCATTGCAAGAGCTCCTGTGGGTGTCCAGTATTTCATGGGTTTGTTGACTAGAAGTTAGTGATGCTACCTTATCTATCCTTGACTACTCAGAGAATCACATCTTCTGCCCTTGGTTCAGGGAACTAACATCTGACCTTTTCTATCACTTTGTCCCAACATTATCAACTGAACCTCTTTAGTCATCTCCTGTTGCTTTTCTATAGTGCTGTCATACCCTATTTTCTGCCATGCACTACCATGCTGCACACTTCTTTTTGTTTTTAAACAGGCTCTTCATTATTCCTTTCAGTTTTCATTTTCTAGAACTGCTCTGTTTACGTCTTCCAAACTAACTTCCATCTTGTTGAATTAGACTTACTTGTAAGCATACAACAAAAAGGCAGCCACATCTCTTTAGCCTTGTTGACAGGAAAGAAAAAATATATTAATTTTTAGTACATCTGATTTATATATGGCATGAACAAAGGCACCTTTAGTAGACTAAACAAATTCCTTACAGATTTGAGCACGCAGATGTGTAATTAATAAGTACTATGCTTCTAAATCAGTTGGAGGTTTAATGGGCTAGATGTTTTTACCACATATATTTTCAAGCAGCAGTGCCTGAATTCGAACAGCTGCAGGGAATCCTTGTTGTAACTAACACTTCTGACTTGCCCCTTCAAAAGCACAATTGCTCTGTAAGGTCGTAAGGTCATAAGCTGCCACCTGCAGGGTGTGTGGTGCCTGCCACGAACAGTTCTAGCACAAACCCATTTCGTCACTTACATAGTTATTAACGGCTTTAAACTGCAATCTTTACAACCCTCAGGGGGTTGGAGAATCCAAATATAACTGTTTGTAAAACAGGGACTGGATTAGAAGTGAGTTTTACAACAAGAAGTCTTGGGTTTGAACATTTAATATCGCTCTATGAGCATCAAAGGTATGAAGTACTTATTGAAATGAACATAGAAGCAAAGGTAATTTTCTGGTCAATTATAGTGAATTGAAAGCACAGTTCTCTAAGTTCTCCTTGTGTGCCAGCACAGCAGGAAGCACATGCTTCCACCGAAGTGCCATCAGCAGTGCTGACCAGCAAACGCTGGCAGATGGTCTGAAGGAGCTGCTGTTGCTTTCACAAAACCTCTGCTCCACTGACAATGTCATTTTACTTTTTGAGATTATGTTCTTAATAGTTTAGACAGTGATATTTTGTTCAGAATAATATTAATTAATGAAATGAAAATGTAAGAAAATACATAGTAACTATTAAGTGCAACTTGAAATGCAATTAAATAGTAAATGTAGTTTAACTTTGTAATGACTCTTTTTGTGATATTTTTGCCATTTTTCTTCCCTCCCACACTCTTCTTCAGGATTTCATTTCATTATTAGATAAATGAAACTCGAATTTCTGTGAGGATACCAGGGGGTGATGAGAGCACTAATATTTTTGCAGAGGTAAGTAACATTTTTACAATTAATTTTCAGTGAATAGAGTATTTGCTTTTATACAGTTAATTGATGTGAAGAGCTGTACTAATGCTGACTAGAAGACACAAGCATAGCAGAGTATATCACATAAGTATTTTTTATTACATATTTTGACTCTATAATGAATTTGTAGGTATCAAGCCTTTTCTCGTGGTGGTAAGTCCGTGTTGCTCTGTGGAGTGTCCTTGTGCTATAAAGCTAAAAGTAAACACAGCTGATATGTTTACACTGAATTTTTTTTAGATTCTTACTAATCTCCCTTGATTTGTATCAGTTGTAAGGAAACTGTCTTTGAAGAAAATCTGGTAACAGTTTTAGAAAACATAGTGTTCCAGTCAGGAGCCCAAACTGTAGTGCAGAAGGAAGTACAGGGAAGGAATTAATCTGTGCAGAAATTCCATTTAACTGTGTATTGGAATTATTATTCCCCTACCAAAACCCTAAGAGACTGTATGCAGATGAAAGCCAATGGTTAGTTGTGTTTATCATTCTTGAGTCAGTATTCATTGCAAACTAAACGGAAACTGCTCCATGTTTTCTGTTGCATTATTTATCATGTATCTTCAGATTTTCCCCTGTATGTTTGCAAAAAACCTGGGGAAAAATAAATGTTTTGGTATACAGATATTTGAATGTCAAAATCCTGTTAAAATGTAGATGATTTTGGTCTTAAGATGACTTTATGTATACTGGCCTTGGCAACTTTTGCCTTTCTTCTTGTATACATGGGAATTTTATGCTTATTACAAAAATGCCACTGTTCAGGAATTAGTTATTTTGTAACAATTGCTCATGGTAGAATGCTAAACACAAAGGAAGAGAGGAGAAACACTGATGAGACATCAGGCAGCAGGAGGAGATACATTCCAGAAACATGGGAGGAACTTGGAGGGAGCAGATTCAGACTGATATGTCTTGTTTCTTTCAGAGTAGGGAAGAGAATTAAGTAAATTAGTCACCAGCTCTGTAGCTCCAATGTGATGATTAACCATTTTGCATTGTCTTTTAGCACAATTTCTCTCCTATGTATGGACATTGGAAATTCTCATTTCAATTATTCATTCACAGAAGACAGTTTTTTTAGCAGTGCAAGACTTGTTTCAAAGTGATTGTTTCTCTTTTAGGACACTTCACATTCAATTCAGTTGGAGGATTTGTGTGTTTCCTCCTTGCTGCTCTCCTTGTGATTGTCTGTATCACTTATGTGGCAGGTTGGGTCATCACAAATTGAGGTAAGAGAGCTCAGTTTTGTGCTTCAGTATTCTGCAATTGCTGTAGTTTGAGTTTTGCTGCAAGCATCTCTTTAGACATCATCAGATGATGGAGAATACCTGGTAGGTGTCATTGTAATAGAAACTCTCTCAAGTTTGTTTCGGAAGCTCCAGCTGTGACCGCATCAACATTTCAGTTTAAATCAGTACTGTGCTTGTGAAGGGAGTTGCCCATCGGCCTCAGAGCAGTTTGGTTTGCATTGAGGGTGGTTGAGGAGTGCAGCCTTGCTGCCCCCAGATGATATTATACTGAAGATGTGCTACAATGAATCGATCATCATCCAACAGCTAATTGCTATGCCGGCCCTGGGACTGGACTAGGGCTAGGCTGTGGTAACCCCCCTGAAATACTTAGTACAGAAATTGCTCCTTCTCCCCAAATGTTTTGCTCTGTAATCTTGGCCATTCCCCCACCCGACCTGCTAGTGTAAGCTGAGCCTCTTTCCTTCTGTCATTTTCTTCCTAAATGGAGTCAATATTTAGTCTCTTACAAGAATCAGCACTTCTGTAACTAAGGATTAGTTGTTGGGAGAAAAAGCCCATGTACCTGTACCACAGAATTGAGGTTGGTGCTGGCTGTATCAAATTGCAGCTAGTTCTTTTGGGTGTATTATACTGATTTTTGTAAAATAGGGAAAAAAGTGGATAACTCTGTCATGGATAATAAAAGCTAACAAGAGATTTTGATGATAAGAACAGGCAAGAAAAAAAATACTCCACTTGCAAATTCTTGTCTTTCCACTGAATACTGTAATTTATTACATAAGCAAAATACCAACAGCAACTGTAGTTTTAGTTTGTCATTCCACTTTTTCCAAGATGTTCAGTTATAGAACAACTTCATCTCCTGGTAACATCAAAGTAGGAATCAGAACAATACATTAAACCCACAGCTGTACTCTTCAGCTGTCGCTTCTATGTACATGTATCTGGAATGAATCTTGGCTTACTATCTGTCACATCAATAGTTTATACCTCAAGTTCAGGTAACCTGTATAATATAAATATAGTTAATTTGGAGATGACTGTGATACTCTGTATGCAGACTTCAATGCATACAATTCCATAGATGAAGTGTAGCAATGCCGAAGTCATGTGCATTCAGTAAGATTTTTTTTTTTGCAACACTTTGGAGGAAAAATACATCAGCTGAAGTTAATAAAATACAAAAATATCTATCAGCAGAAGATCAATAAAACTGCACTGGGAAAAAAGGGCATTTGGCGAAAGAAATCTTCAGGTGAGCAGGTTGCAGGGTAAGCACATCCATTACCACACAAACGCAGCTCTCTCTCGTAACATTCTGACACCAAAGCGCTGCCATTCCCGCTGATAGATCCAGAGCTCCTGAGTTGTGTCAAGACAGGCTAAAACTGCACCTCCTTTCCAGGCAATTAAGCGTGGATCCATATCCTGAATTCAAAACACAGATTATATACCATCACTGGTCTCATTTTGCATAGCCCTCCAAAGTTGTATCCTACTTTTTCCAACAGTATTCACCACTTAGAATCTTGGGGGTAGGGAAGGAGGGAAGTTTTTCAAAATTATTCAGTAAAAATAGTGAGATAAAAATATGCAAAGAACATTTAAGACGTTTTGAGAAGTCACTTTTTTTTTTTTTAGATGCCTTCGATGCATGTCATGAAAATCCTGCCTTCAACAATGAAGGCTCTGAAATATACTCCAGTTGTAAATTTTTAAGTCTTGCCTGATTAATGCCAAATGAAAACTGCTCTTTTTAACGTCAAGTTTTCTTTCACCTTAATGCCAATAAAAAACCCCATCACAATGTCTTGGTGAGGAGACAGGTCAACTTCATGGGCCAGTGCTAACTGCTTCTTTAAGGAAAGGGCCTACAGGTAACACTTTTCAGTGACCCACACCAGTAACGCTTTGCTATACCTCTAGCTTGCTGCCTGGAACTGGCCAGCGCTCTGAGCTGGAAGCTCTCCTAAATCTCAGATATTCAGCTACTCTGTGCTTTGGAAAGAACGTTTCTCTTAATGTTTCACAGTTTCAAGGAATGGTTTATTGACCACTTAGCTCTCAGTTAACAGTATACCTTAGGTCTTGTGATGACTTCAACATTTTCGACGACTCTTCTGAAAGAAGGTGGCATTTTGTTGAGAATTCGATGTTGAAGAAACTCTTGAGCTTTATGAAACATCAGGCCTCCTCCCACTACTAAGATGGAGCTATACATCTTCTTTTTTGTATCATCAGAGGCTGGAATGAATGGATATATAGAAACATCTGGGTTTTAAAGTTACTATGTGGCCTGTATTTGTATTACAATTAATTTACTGCAAGCCAAACCAGATAGAAACTGATGTTTGTTTTTAAAATTATTTTTCTATTTCCTGGAGATTGAAAACATCTAACTCAAGAAACCCCAACAAAGATGAAAGTATAAGAAACAATATGGCTACTCTCAAGGTGCTAACACTTAGGGACATACATCTTTCTTTGGTAGAATACAGGAATTGCCTAAGTCCACACTGACATGCATGTTTTACAGACTTGTACAGAGGTAATTCTTACCACAGCAGTCGATACTGTGAAGGATGGCTTTGTCAAGGCCCAAGGCTTTGCCTTCAAACTGAGAAATAGCAGTTTTCCTGGACATGTGTGCAGATAAAGGTTCCTCTGAATCATTCCCAGATATCATACAATCACCTTGGGAAGATCCCAGTTCCACTTCTTGTGGGTACATCCTCTCTGAAATGTCTGAGGCTTGGCCTCTCAATTCTCCTTCAAAAGCACCAGGCTTTGACATGGATTTTCTATCAGCTGTAGCTTTTGCAGACTTAAAAAAGAGAAAACAAGTTGAATTATGAAAAATGAAAAAGATCTTCATCAGGTTACAGAACAATACAAAGACTTAACTAAGCAACATTCTACTTCCCTTCACCTTTTTGCCAGAAAGGTTAAGCACTGCATTATTACCTCATCTAATTTTCATTTTAATCCCCATGTTCAAAGTAAGGGGTTTATTTTGAACTCCACCAGATTGATCAATCCCATAATATGAAGTCCTCTTAGACCCTGAAAATGCACAGTTTTAATTAAAGGCTTGTCTAGACATCCATAATTCCTTACTCTAAATTTCTTCTTTAATACTTCTGACCTAGGTAACAAACTTTGGCTTCTGAGATGAGCTCATGAGTCTTCATTTTATTCCCCAATTAAATAATACTTAATGAAAAATAAAACCAGCATTCACACACCTGCTCCTGCTTACTTTGTGTGGCTAGCAGATAATGTTCATCATGAGGATCCTCAGGGTCACCTTGTGACCTGTGTTGCAAAGTTGTCATTTTTTGCCCAACAATTCCAAAAGTTGCTGGATAAAACAGAGCCATGGGAGCCTGAAGAATGAGAAATTTGGCACAGGTTTACCACATAGTTTATCTTTTTTTGGCATTTACTATAAAAGCAGAGCCTTGTCCTATTTTTCTCACAATTCAAAATTAGAGATTTTTTTTCCCAGACAGTTTGTAAAAGACTGAAGTGTCTTCAGCTTTTAAAATTTAGCAAGTAAACCCAACAAATACACTTGTACATGTATTTAAGTTTCTTTACAGATTCTGGCATTGATAAATAAGTACTGAAATGCAGCTTCTTGCAAAATTAGAAAATTCAATGGTGAGCTGAAAAACTTGCAAAATTAGCATTCACTTCTCGCACTCAAAGGATAACTATCGTATCTAGTTGGAGGAACAATCCATTCTGACTAAAGCTAGTTAGGAAATCTTTCTTGTGCTGCATTAGGCCCATTCATACATACAGTAATTAATTTAAAACTATCACAGCATCGTTTAAGAACAGTCTATCAATGATATGGGCTCAGCAGCACTGGCCTGAAATACAGTGAGGTTCTGAGTCTGAATGGTCAATGCTCAATATAATTCTTGCAATTTAATAAAAGAATCACCTGTAATTTTTCATCCCCTAATCGGAATTGGTATAACAAAGCTGGAGAATCTGGATGACGAATTTGGAACTCATGATCTTGCAATCCAGAAATATCCTATGGTCAAAAAACAATGTAAACAAAAATGTGTACACCTTTTTATATTTGTCAGGCTGCATAATCTATTTAAACTGTAAGAAACAACAAAAAGTAACAAAATGCTTCAAACTATGGATTCAATTTACCTACTTTTAATTTCTTTTTAAGTCTTTTCCCTGTAGCATGATGTGCCAAACAACTTTCTACATGCCTAAGCCAATAAAATGGGGGTTTGTGCAGAAAGAAGAGACCTGCTGACAGATCTTACAAAACAGAAGTTGAAAACCAGCAAACATGCAACTGCTATCAGCTTCTTTCAGGAATAAGAACAAAGAAACTCCCTTTCTGAGGACGCTGGGATTCCTTTTAAATAGAAGAAAAATAAACCAAATTACAAACATTTCAAGTCTAAAGCTTCCCCAGCTTTTGCCAGTATTCTACTGAGTAGAATATTTGCAATTAATTTAGATGCATGAAAAGGTTCCCCAGAGTTGCATTCTGTAGAGGAAACAAAATTACTTCGAGAATACACTATTTTCCCTTTCTCACCTGGTCTAGATGACAAAATGTCTCCTTCAGATGCTGAAGCAGCAGGCAATCCAACTTATTAGTTAACTGACAGTCTCTGTATGGGAATCCTGCTCGTTGCATAAGCCAATAAAAACACCTTGACACATCAGCTCCTCCATATGCAAGGCACAGCCTAGAGCACAGACAAGAAAAAGACGTTTTTATTTATTTGCTGAAATACTGGCTGCCTGCAGTAGCAGGTATAGGAACACAAGGGACATTTTAGACATGCCATGACTGTGACTTTCACATAGCTTGCAGAGCACAGTATCAGTTCTGCCTGTTTTCTTCTTTTAGACATCAGAATTCTTTAAGTTTCACACTGTAACAGTTGATCCTGTTACATGGGTCACAGGAAAAAAACCCAATCCTGTGTTTATAGAAATTTTTTCTCCTTTTTAAAGTCAAGTCTTTGGTAAGCAGCTGAGTACATGCTTATAATAACTGCAGATTATAAGATACCTGGTGTTGCGATGGGAAACACCATCTTCCACACAGCAAACACTTGTCTTCTGATCTCCCACATCCACAATACAGGCACTGCTTAAACCACTTCCAAAGGTAGCACAGACAGACTCCTGGTGCACAATAATTCCTAGCAATATGAGAAAAACTTATATTAAACTCATGCCAAACTCCAGAGTCATGTTGCTGACATTTAAAGGACAGTTTAACGTCTTTTAAAGATTTACAAACAGTCTGACTCTGCACTGTAGGACTGTATGTTCAGTGAAGATGGGGTGGGGGAGACTTTCAGACTTTTTTTGGTTGGGTATACCCTTAAAAGTCCTGAGAAAAGCTAAGAGCAGGGCAGATGCCTAGACTCAGATGATAAATTTTTTTGCAAGATTAAAGATATTGCCTCCAAATTTTATTTTCTTTTTTGACTGGTATTGCAGGGTCTTGGTTATCAGATGTACATGAAGCATTTTTCTCATTGTTTTTCTAGTTTTAGTCAAATAGCATTAGCGTTGGCATTTTACATATGCTAAGTAGCTATAAAATAAGGTCTAATTTCACCCTGTTTTCCCTTCAGTCCACCTTTAACCCTGTAAAAGAGTACACTTGTACCACAAGACCATACTTAAACCTGAGAAGTACTGGAGCTTTCAGTCTATCTTAGCCAATGAAGGGAAAAAGATAGCTCAATTGAGCTGAGCTTTGTAAACACGAACTAAGTAAAATGACTTTTTAAAGGCAAATGTTTTTTAGATAGATTAAGATAATTTAGTTATGTGGTATAATTAGTTCAGCTCCTCACTATTGTTTAGAAAATGGCACTTTCAAGAGTTAATAATGATATTTTCTAACATTCGTGTATCAGATGAATACAAAGCATTGCAGGTTTTTCTTAGTATTCTTCCTATTCCTCTGAAGCTAACTCATTTCCACTACAAATTCTTCTACCCCAGTGCCAGCACATTTTTACAGAGCATTATTAGGCTGTAGTATTCACATTACTTCTGTTTAAAAACCTGTAAGGATTCAAACAAAACACCATGTAGAACCATCTGCCCCAAAACTAAAATAGAAAACATGATTTACTCATTTTAACATGCTGAAACGAAACAAATATATATATATATATTTATATATGCATGTGAACAAAATTTACATCTCATAAGATCATTCTCTCTCTTTGCAGTGTTTATTTATCACCTACTTAATTCTTTCAGATGGGAAGCCTCTTTTTTGTAAAATGAGTGTCTTTGATTAAATGCAGAAGAGGCTAAATGGGTTCACTCTAAGCAATAGTATCTAAGCACATATTCTGCTTAAGGGTAATATTTGGAAACTGCACTTTGTACTGATCAATTATTAAACAAGAGCAGTTATGATCTCCAGCATCTTACCATTAGCTTACTGTTTGCCTAGCCTCTAGCATTTAACTTATTATTCTTTTTAAGCCTTTTCCCTGTTCATTCCTTGCATATCTAATAAGAAGAAATGACTTTGCAGAACCAAAGGTACTCCAATATATTGAAAATTAAGTATGGTTGAGTTGCTGTGCCTTCTGTAATGACTTGCTTTGTTTTCTCTACACATGAAATCAGAGTAAGATGGTTAATACTGCAGCAGCTCTTTCCAGAAGACTAGCTAGAAACTTCCAGGAGTTTAACTGAAAGGAAACTTTCATCAGAGAGCTTTTGAGTGTAAAAATAAACGTGCAGAAGAGGCTAAGAATGGCCTGGTTGGTTTTGGGTTTTTATTTTTTAATTTTATTGCTCTTTTATATTTAGTGCATGCACTTAAACCAACTCTGAAACCTCCTATTATGTCAGCCCATAAAGGGGACAGTAGCAGCATTTAACATTGTATACTTTTCTTTTGAGGTCTAAGAATATTAATACTCTGTAGAATTAACATTGTGAATTTTAGAAATATTTGAGAAACCAGACTGTGGCTACTTTAACCTCAGCTGAATGAGAAGCCCACAGCTGGCATGTGTAACAGCAAACCACAAAGCTTGTTTCAATGCTAGCCAACCATTGTGTCCCTTGAAAAGGGACAACAGTTATGCGAATAGCACAAGATGAAGCTGCTAGTCCCAGCCAAACTGGGACAGATATGCAAAAATGTGGCTTAAAGGAAAGAAAAATAAAGTTTTCATGCAACTAATCATCAAGTATTTCCTTGAGTATGCTTTTACCTGAGAAGCCCATCTTCATTAGGATCATATTTACCAGTTCTTTCACATGTTGTTTATTGTAGATGTCCGGAATTAGTAAAATGCATCTGTAGTACTGAAGATAAGAACAGTAGATTAAAGCCTGCTCTCAAATTAAGTTTCTCTTTACATTCCTGAACACCTGATCCTAAGGAAGAAAGCATGATACACAAGTTATTTAACAGAAAAGCAAAATTATAGAAAAGGGGAGGCATTTAATACTTGAAAAATGAAATTATAGTAAGTGTCAAGTTAAGAGTCTATAGGCCACTAAAATGTTTAAAAGTGCATCAGATGTGACAGAAACACTCGGCAAGGACAAGGAATTATACAAGTATTAGGCAACACCTTCCTCAGGTGCCTCCTTTACAGTTAACAAAAAAACCTGAACAAAGACTAAGGCTGTGAAATGTCTATAATGGGATTTCTAAACCTCCTTCTTAGAAGTTCTATCAACAATTTTTGTCTTAAAAGACACGGACTAAATTCCAAATGAAGTCTTAGGAACCATGCTCACAGAATGCATTGGTTAAGAAAAGCACCAGAAGAGCTTCTCTTTTACAGTGATATTTAAAGAAGAGGATAGAGTCCACATAACTGTGTCATTAACAGCTCACCTTTAGGTCTTTCAGTGGTATTTCCAGACACTTTTGTATTGCATGTGACCATATAACTTCAAGGTCTGCTAATACTGCAGTGAGGGAGCCACCAGGTCCTGCGTGGAGATTCAGCTGTCCTCTCCTGATTGGCCAATGTATGTTATAAGAATCTAATGGATTAACATACAGAGCCTGAAAATAAGAGATAATGTTCTATGCATTGCTTTTTCCCATAGATTAGTAACAAATACTAAAAAGATTTCAGAGGCAGATACAAGAAGACACAGCAGCACTCAAGACTGATGTGACAGCAGTGTGCTGGATTTCTTTGTAGCAGGGCTTGATTGTAAACCATTAAAATAAAAAGACAGTAAATACATTCTTTAAATTGCTTGAATATTCTTACCCACAGACATCTACCCAACATAATGGTATATTTTCCCATCATCTCAAATTAGAAACTAAAATAAATAGCCTTGAGCAATCCAATCTAGTGAGGAGGTGTCCCTGCCCAGGGCAGGGGTTGTGACTAGATGACCTGTAAGGTCCATTCCAACCCCTAAATTCTATGATTCTATGATGATTCTATGATAATGTCAACTCTTTGAAACTCTGGACTGCCTAGCTACTCAGCACCAATTCCACGTACTGATCCATCTTATCAGTTTCTTGCCTTTTCTCTGAATTATGCCATATGGCCAAAGTTCTAACTTAGTCCCTACAGAAACTCTCATTTATACCAGCAAAGGATCCAAGATATTTGTTAGGCAAATGGGGGAAACCCTCTTGTCCAGCTGAATGATAATAAATATTCAATTACTTCATGCTATTCATGTATTGCTTGGCTAACTTGCCATGTCTTTCAGTACATGCTAACATACAGCAAACTGCTACTGATGACATAGCTGCATTAAAACATCTTCAGGAGGAAAATCAATCTTACCTCTTCTCCTACCAAAAATTCAGGATGATTTGATGTGTTTGTCCACTTGGCCCCAGAGCTGTGGTCCAAAATAGCTGGCCTCATCTGTCTGTTGTATGACCTGGCCTGAAATGCAATCAAAACAAATCCTGTTGATAAGTATTTTACCAGTCACTGCATGGAAGAAAAACGAAGCACCCCCTCCACACCTCAGCTCTCCAGAAAACAATTTCAATCTTCACTTTCTCAGATCTTCAGAGTTGGGTCACACAACAGCACTATCCACGTACAAAGGAGATCTATTCTTGTCCACTAAAACATAACATCAGACCAGAGGACTATAGGAATGAACAACTGAATAAAATCTTGAGTTACCTGATCAGGTGACACTGGTATACGCCTTGCTCCATTCGACATCTTTTTGGACCATATTGCTTGGTCCACCATTTTAAGGCCATTTTGTCTCTGCTCGGTGCTTTCAGGTTTCTATGGAAAACCCCAAATACACAAGGTAAATACTTTCCAACTATATGTCTGTACACTGGTAATACTGAAGCTGTTATTAAACAATTAAAACATTACTGTGGTTGATAGACTATAGAAAGGACAGAAGTTTGTACCATGCAAAATGAACTTATGCTCATTTTTAAAGAAATGAGTATTATTTTTTACACCAGAGCTCTCAAAACCTAGTTGTCAAAGTCAACTTGAATCTTTTAACACATTATAATGGCTGCTGGACTTCATCTCCAGCGTGATGCACTCAGGCCATTATCTAACTATAGAAATATTAAGTAGGAACAAAAATGTTTAAAGAGGTCTTAATTATTTAAAGGTGACGCTTAATATTAAAGACATTAATTTGATCAATGTTTTTTGTTTCACAGACTCAGGTTATGAATGACTACATATATTTTTTAAGCAGGCTGGACTAAAATTAGTTGCTGTGTTATCCAAGTCACAAACCAACTTGTAACCAATGCATTCACAAATGAAACAGTCCCACGAAGCTGATAAGAGCATCTCCCCTAAGAGACAGGCTGGAAAGATGGGGCTGTTCAGCCTGGAGAAGAGAAGGTTGTGTGGGGATCTCACAGCAACCTTCCAGTATCTGAAGGGGCCTCCAGGGAAACTGGTGAGGGACACTTTGTTAGGAACTGTAGTGACAGGACAAGGAGTAATGGGTATAAATTGAAACAGGAAGAATTGAGATTAAATAGTAGGAAGAATTTTTTTTACTGTGAGAGTGATGAGATACTGGCACAAGTTGCCCAGGGAGGTTGTGGATGCCCCAACCCTGGCAGTGTTCAAAGCCAGGCTGGATAGTCTTGAGTAACCTGGTCCAGTATCCCTGCCTATGGCAGGGGGTTGGGACTAGATGATCTTTCAGGTCTATTCCTATGCCTTAACTTTCTATGGCTCTAATCCTACAGCCAGCATTCTATCAGCAGAAACACCAAGTGTGGTACCAGACCACAGTGCATGGAAATCAACATGGATAAACCCTCAACCTATCAATTGATTAGATTTAATTCATTGCAAACAAATCAAGTAAAGTGCAAACATAGTCCGGTGCAAACCTACTGATTTCAGTAGGTGGCATCTACAGGGCATTAAAAGGGTGGGGAAAAAAAGTTTGACTTAAGACATATTCTGCTCTGGATAAACCTAAAGTCTGAGAGGAAGATGCGCACTCCACAGCCAACCCACGGGCGGCGGCAATGGTCAGCGAGGAGACGCGCGCCGGGCGGGCTCACATTGAGGCCGTCCCGCAGCAGCCAGCTGTCCCGGTACGCCGCCTGGCCCTGC